ATCAGCACCAATCTGCTAAACATTAGTTCCAGGTGTGCTCTGTGACCCCTCCTCCTCCTCACCTGTGCTGCCTCTCTCTCCTGGAGTTGCTCCACTATCTCGGCCATGGTGGACCTTTTTTCTCTAGAGGAAGTGAAACAGGGTTAATGAAGCTGAGTTTTCTCTGAGGTCATTTGTCTGACCTCTAACCGTCTCACCCTCCTGCGGAGCGCCTGTCCGACTGCTCCTTCCCGATGTCGTTCTCACTGGACCCCTGTCTCTCTAGCCGGTGCCGGTCCCTCTCTCTCCTCCGGCCGTCATGGCCCCCGTGGGCTTCCTGTTCGCTGGACGTTTGCCGCTCCAGCGTCCGTTTCTCTCTCCTCTCTGCATGCTCCCGCCACACCTCCTGAGGTAACTCGTCCCGGCGAGCCTGGATCAGCTGCTCGCTGGACACGTGCCGCTCTATCCTGTGATCTCGGTGATATGTGTGCGTCTGGACTTGTGGCTCCGCATGGCCAAAGATGTCTGCCCTGGATCCACGCGGGCCTCTGGTGGGCTCGCTGTGCAGACGCTCTCGTGTTGGCTCCTGGAGCACCACCTCGGCCATCACCGCCACCTCCACCCTCTCTGTTCCTACCTCACCCATCTTCGAGTCCCTTTCCCTCCCCCTCTCCCGCACTTTCTCCAGTCGACTGGCAACGATCAGCGGCGTCACGGCGTCATCCAGGTGTTTGATTTTGGGTTGCCGTAGATACGGGGAGGATTTCACCTCCAGCTCCCTGCCTGCCTGCCCCGGATGCAGATGACTCATCACCTTAGTGACCTGTTCTCTGGCTGCGCCGGCATTTTCTCTCATCTGATTGGCTGAGACTAACATGGCTGCTGTGGCAACAGAGGCGATTGAGGAGGGGGCTGGCTGACCCAGCCCTGCAGCCACGCCCACAACACCGGCGTGCCGGACGTCCAGGGTGTGGCGGTAACCGGAGCTGTTCATCACCGACGTGTAGTTGGCGGCCGTGGACCCCAGCCGTCGAGCCACAGAAGACGGGGAAGGTGTGGGTGTGGCAGGCGATGGGGAGGGGGGGGAGCTGGCTTCATTCTGCTCATAGATGGTCTGTCTCATGACGGGGGAGACGGGGAGGCGGGGCAGGGTCACAGGACTGGGTGATGCATCTTGAGGGTCCAGGAAGACTTTCCGACCCAGCAGAGGTGTGGGTGGGAGCTGGCTTTGCTCGGCTTTCATCTTTTCCACCTGGGAAAGGAAACAAACCCAGTTACAGTTTCAGCGTGTTCACGCGGCAGACACAGGAGGCGGCGGGAACTGACCGTGGTGAGCCGTCTGAGCGAGCTGAATCGCTCCTCCCAGGTGGCGGCGGCTTTACGGAAGGCTTCATGTCGACGGATGAGCTGCTCCACCTCGTCCACGCTCGCTCCGAGCTCGTTGCTGCTGATCAGCGGCTCCTGAGCGGTCAGCCAGGCCTCCGCCACCATGGCCTCCTGGGCAAACTGGTGCACCTCCAACACTGAGGGCAGGACAGTGGAAACAAGCGTGCTTACCACCTGAGGCACACATGCAGAGCTAGAACGGGGCGAGTTACTGGGGCGGAGCCGTCTCCGCGACACAGTTGGAGACATAAGATGCTTCAGATTAAAACTCAGATATGGAATGCGACCGGTCTTACGCTGCTGTAGGGCCTCCCAGTGCTTGTCCCACTTCTCCGTGAGCTCGTGTTGTTTGGCGATGACCCGTTCGAGCTTCTCCTTGATCTAAAAAGCAACAACAGCATCATTAGGTTCAGGATGCATGTCGGGTCTGACACGAGAGGACGTGCTGGGCTAGAGCGACCCGCTAAAGGCTGGCACATGAATGTTGGGTGTTGTCTGAATGCTTTAGCTGAGTCCAACAAACATGCTGGAGGGGGTTGCCGGTTCGAGCCCCGCCCAGCCTGTCGCTCTGCCCTTGGGCTGGACAACACCCCGAAGAGGTGGTCGGCTTCCTCCGGATCACCGGGCTGAGTTCTGGCTACGCCGCCGCTCATCAGCACCAGTGTGGGTGTGCATGGCTGAATTACTGTGTTGTAAAGCACCTGGGGGGGGGGGTCTAGGACCCCAGAAGGCGCTGCATCAAATACAGGCCACTCATGTTTTCATGTTTTGGTCATCTCACCTCCTCGGCTGCAGGATTCCTCGCAGCCAGCAGCGTTTTTCCCATCTCGATGCATTCCAGAGTGCTCCGGCTGCGAGCTTCCACTTCGCTCTTCAGGCTCTGGTGGTAGTTCATCAGCACCTCCACCGAGGACACGTCCCTGCAGCAACCACATGTTACACACGTCTACTGCTCTACTGGATGGTGGGAGCTTTCTACAGCTGAATGAAGATCAGACTGAGATCCTCATCTGTGCCCCAGACAAGCTGGTTCCCAAAGTCAGAGACTCTCTTGGTCAGCTTGCTTCTCACACCAAACCTTCTGTCAGGAATCTTGGCGTGACCTTTGACCCAGCTCTTGAGACAGTTCTCCACACCTTCATCTCCTCACGCTTAGACTACTGCAACTCTCTTTTCACGTGTCTGAGCAGAACCTCCCTGAACCGTCTACAGGTGGTTCAGAACGCCTGTGCTCGGCTTCTGACCAAGTCCTCCAAACACACCCACATCACCCCGCTTCTCCTCCAGCTTCACTGGCTGCCAGTCAACTTCAGGGTTCATTTCAAGATCCTGGTTCTGGTCTATAGGGCCTTACATGGACAAGCACCATCTTACATTGGTGATCTTCTTAGTCCCTACACCCCCAGCAGGTCCCTGAGGTCCAGTGACCAAAGGCTACTGGTTGTGCAGCACCAGGCTAAAGGTCAAAGGTCATCTGCTGCTGTGGCCCCCAGACTCTGGACCTCTCTCCCCCTGAGCCTGAGATCAGTGGACTCAGGGGTCTCCTTTAAACTCACCTGTTCAGGCTCTGGTGGGACCTTCATCACCTCCCTCTCCTTGTTCTGCTCTTCTACCACTCCGTCTTTCCTGTTCATGCTCTCTCTCCCTTTCCTTACATTTTTATGATTTCAGTAAAATTCTTTTTTAAACTTGTTAAAAACTTTAGTTTTTGCGAAGCGCCTCTTGATTTCCATCTGAAGAGGCGCCGTATGAAAGGTTAGGACAACCCCGACCCCATCACACCAGCAGCTCTGAGTTTAAAGTAAATAAACTCCGTTTGATCTGGGCACAGAAAACGAGTATTTGAATGGTTACACTCCTCGTGTGCGGTTCAACCACCTGGGCTTCTCTCCTGTGTCGATCTGACAGATGATGGAGTCCATCCACGCCATCTGGTCTCGGACCATGCTGAAGAACCGTAGCTTGTCCGTTTCCGTGGTGATCTGCAGTCGACACTCTTCGCAGGACGTCAGCAGATCCTTCCAGAACTGCATCACTTCGTGCTCCCGACACGCGATGGCTTCGACTTTCTCACCTGCGTACACCGTCCTCAGCTGGGCGGCGCTTTCCTGCAGCTGGCGCACCTGAGCGAGGCAGAGAACGGCTGTTGGTTTCACGAGTGACGCACATTGAGCACCTGGTGCGTTTAGCCTGGGTCTAGCGGCCGGATTTGCTCGTAGCACTTCAGTAGAGGGACAAAAGTTGCGGTGCATGTCAGAGTTTGCAGACATGCAGCACTTGTACCTGTGTTCACTGTTCTACCTGCGTGACGAGCAGCTGGATGTCCTGCTCGAAGCTCTGAAGGAGTCTCTGCAGGGTGCTGGTGTTGGAGGTGCCCCCCTGCCGAGCCCGAACCTCTGGTAGCCTCCGATGTTTGTCCTCGATCTGAGCCAAAACCTGCGCAGCGACACAAGGCAGTCCATGTGTGCCGCTCCTACGGGTCAGGGTGAAGGGCCAGAAACCGACTTTTACCTCTTTACAGTCAGAGAAGAACTTGTGCAGCTGGTGCGATGCCGCCAGCATCTGAGCTCGGGTCTCCATGAGCTCCAGGAGGTCGGCCCAGGCCTCGTTCACACAGTCCTTCCACTCGGCTATGGTGGCGGCCTCCGAGTGGCCGTAGTCGATGAGCTCATCCACCATCTGGTTGACGGCCGTCACTCGTTCCTGCCCCACACCTCCCGTCTCAGAGGCAAACTCTGTAAACTTCTCCTGCAGGACCTGGAGGACAGGAGTATGAAGGAGAGACGTTTCTGAGGGGTAGATGTGTTCACCCAACCAATAAACAGTTCAAGCACGTCCCGATTTCAGCAGAATTGGTTCAAAATTTTAGATTTTCGGAGATTCTTGAAGAGGAAAATCAGAAATGTTCCTGTGAATATTTAAACACACGGCGCTTCTGGATGGAGCCCAACTTCTACACCCCTCCTAAAGCATGATGACCATCGCCATGACGACCAGTGACTGCTGATTTTTGTTCTGCAGGCTGCCCCATGCACTTCTGTTCACAGAGTGGAAAGGAAAAGCCTAGATTTGATTTTTCCTGGTCGGCGTAAACGTGCTCTAGAGAACCTTTAGCTCTGAGGGACAAAATGGTTCTTGTCCCAATCAAACAAAAGCATCAGACTCTGGATCTGAGCTTGTCGGGACCTCAGAAACCAGGAAGCTGCTCGTGGATGAGAGCCTAAACCAGCAGACCTGAGTAAGGTCCACCTGAACCATCGGTGGACAGACGTACCGTGACATGTTCGAAGTCCTGACCCAGTTCAGGCGAGCTGGCGACCACCTCCCTCTGAGCGATCCACTGTTCCAGCTCGTCCACCTCCCTGTGGAGCTGGTAGAGCCAGTACTGCTGCTCCAGACGGCTCTTCCTCTCCTCCACCAGGTCCTTCAGAGACACGTACAGACGGTCCACCTGCGACTGACGCTTGCTGATCTGCTCGCTGTTCAGAACGACTAATTAAGCAAAAACAGCATCCAGCCAGAATCATGAACTAAGGTGTGTGCTCACCTGTCTGGATGTCCCATCTCCAGCAGCTGTCGACACTGCTGGGACAACAGACCGATGGTCTCTGCGTAGTCCTCGATGGTCTGCTCCA